AATTCAGTAAAAAGAAAACAAGATCTTTCCCAAACACATTGAAAGCATGGGTAAAGAAATGATCTTACCTTGAGTTGAGTTGCAGAAAAGAGAATATCGAGCGAAATGATAAAGCAGATAAAGAGCTATGAAAGGTGAGAGGAGTCGATTGAAGCTTGTGGCATTGAGATTGATTGGGAAATGGCAGCGACGACGTGCAAAGGTGATTGGATAAGGTTGGTCTGAAAGAGCAAGTAACAAGAAAAGAAAATAGGGTTTTCACTTTCAGTTTTGTATAAATTATAAAAAGCAAAAGAATATAAAAAATTGATTTAATAAAAATATAAAATATTTTAATAATATTTTTTTGGGTATTTCAGTTGGTTCAGTTCTTGAATCTTAACATCAAAAATTGACCAAATAAATTGATTAAATCGAGACCCAAATCATTTTAATCTATTTAACCAAAAAAATAAAAATTTGTTTAACTTATGGGTCAATTTTTTTTATCAATTTTTTCAATCAAAGTCGATTTTTACACAGTCCTATCTCTAGGTGGTAAGGAGGTTTTTATGAAGTCAATTTTATAGGCTATGTATTCATATGCAATGACTTGCTTCATGTTTTCGAAGGGTCTATGCCATGTATCAATACGCTAATTAGCAAGTTTTGGTGGAGGAAATCATTGAAGAAAGGAGTACATTGGAAATCTTGGAATTATATATGCACGGCAAAAAAGGAAAAAACCAAATAATCAAATAGCAGCACAATAGCGAAATAATGGCCGTTATTTTGTGGTAGTGCTATTATCTATCACTGGTATCTTGAAAAAAAGGCTGTGAATTTGAATCACAGTCAAAATGGTAAGTTATTACCGTAAAAGAATAGCTTAACGAGGAATAACGGGAATATTGATCCATAATTGTCGCTATCTCGTTTTTCATCTACAATTCTAAATTGTGTAAGGAAAAATAAATCAATAGAAATAAAAATCATATGCCAACTAAAATCACATCAAAAATAAAAACCAATAGTTCAATTCTTAGCAAAACCCATGACAGTGAAAAAAAGAGGAACGAATGACCAGAAAGGTAGAGACTTTTGTGAATGTGTCAGTTAGGAGACGGGATTTACCAATTTACTTTTTTTTGAGTTATATGGGCTTAGGTCTTTCTTTGTGAGAGAAAAAAAGACGAGAAGCAAGATTGTAATGAAAGAGTGACTGAGAAGAGAGAAAAAATTAGTGAAGATTGAATAAAAAGAAAACATGTGGGATGAGTGAAGGTTTGAGAGTGTGTACGTGTGTGGGCAAAGGCTAGAGTGGTGTTGTGGGGGCGTGGTTGTCTTTGTCTCTTTTTTGAAGCTTGAAGTTTTGTGCTTGGGGGCAAGTGAGTGGATGGTTAGCTAGTAGTCACAATTTTTTTTCTTTTAATTTAGTGTTTAATTTTATTAAAAGATAATTTGATAAATTTTAATTATTGAGATTTTTTATTAAAGGAAATTTTAAGGAAGTTTATAATTAAAAAAAAAGAAATAATATGATATATATACATAGAGATTTTAGATGAAAAAATTGATAAATTTTTTATATAAATTAGATGAAAAATAATTAACATTGAATAATTTTATATTTAATATTATTTATTAATTTATGATTTCGCATTTGAAATTTAAAATAGTTTTTTTTTATTGTTTTGATATTTGTATTATTGATGATTTTTTTTGCTATTACTTCAATTTGTATCAAGTTATTATTATTTTTGTGTAATTATTAAAAATGTCATTCATTATATAATAAATTGAAAATAATTTATCATAAAAATGTTAAATTAATTAATATGACAAAAAATTAATGTCTTCTCATCATTTGATAAAATTTGAAGTATATATCAATATGTTTTAAAATATTATGTTAGGCATTTAACATAAGAAAAAGTAATTGTAATATTATTAACTATGGATGCTAGGCATTTATTATATTGTATTTTGTTAATATTTGATTTGTCTGGAGTTAATATTTAATATGAACTTGATTCTAGTAAAGATTTGCTACTAAATCAAATATGAATACTTTGTTATAATCTAAAAAAATTGTGAATAATTTTTTTAAAAAAATAAAAAACATTAAAGTGTTATAACTAATTTTAAAAATTATAAAATAAAAATTATTATAATTATAATTATAATTATTATATTTTATAATAAATTATATAAATTTTTTTTAAAAAATTATTACCTATAATGATTACGATATTCTCCGTTATATTTGCAACCATAATAAACTTGATGCGATAAAAAATGCAATCCCATTGCAATTTAAATCCCGGGTAGGAGGTATCGGATTCAGGGACATGAAAATTTTCAACAAAGCTTTGCTAGCAAAGCAGGGATGGAAACTTCTACACAACCATTCATTACTCATTTTCAAGGTTATCAAAGCTAAGTGTTTCCCAAATACCTCATTTCTTGGGTCTGAGCTGGGTAATGCACCATCTTACACGCAACTTGGCACTAGATGGAGAGTGGGAAACGGCCAATGTGTTAAAGTGTGGACGGACAACTGGATCCGAAAGGAAAGTAGCTTCAAACCCGAACCAAGAGAATGCTACAACCCTACACCAGAAAGATTGTGTGTCCTTTTAAAGATCTCGCTAAACTACTGGGATGAGGACAAGCTGAGGGAGCGTTTTTCAGCAGAAACGGCTTAAGATATCATGGCGATCCCAATGAGCTACAGTGGCCTACAAGTTATACAGGTGTGGCATTTACAAAGACAGGACAATACAGTGTTCAAAGTGGATACCTCCTACTGGGCTCAAGGGGAGGAATGGATGAGGAAAATACAGACAACAGAAGCTGTCCAAACTGTAATAGAATATGGCAGCTTCCCCTCCCAAGCAAAATCAGAATTTTTGCATGGAGAATGAGACACGCGGCATTGCCCACGTTTGAAAGATTGCAGCATAGGAGAATAATGGAAGGTGCGACATGCCCAAGATGCCGAGAGAACGATGAAACTGTCACACATGCAATCAAAGATTGCTACAGTTCGAAGGAGATATGGATAGGGGCTGGTTATGAAGCAAAATGGCAGGAATCACAAGGACAAGATCTAACTGAACGGTTTGCATCACTGGTAAATGATACAGGTTTGGACAAGCTCTGCCGTCTTATGGTAATGTGCTGGGCACTATGGTTCAACCGAAATGAAAGCATTAAGAATAAAAAAGTAGAGAGAGACAGGAAACAATACATTTTATTGACAGATACCTGCATGAAGTTGCATGTGCCCATGCAAAAGGCATAGTCAGAACCATAAGATACGAGGCAAAGGGGAAGGCAGCACAGGAACATGAAGTAAAAGTTAACTTTGATGGAGCATTAAATACTGAGAGAAAGGTAGGATGAGTTGGCCTAATTGCTAGAAACTACGAAGGGAGGGTCTTAGGAGCACTGTCCGTGCTTGTACCAGGAATTAAGGATGCAAAAATAATTAAGGGAATTGCTGCCTCAAAAGCAACTGAGTTTGCTTATGTAATGGGATGGAAAAACATTGTGTTGGAGGGAGACGCGAAAGGAATCATTTGCCCAAATCACAGAACAACAAGAACATAATCCGTGTTTGATTGGAAACCAGATGATGGAGGTTCAAGATAGCTTAACCAAATTTCAGCTATGGAAGGCACATTTTGTCCGGAGAGAAGAAAATAAGGCAGCCCACAAATTGGCTAAAATGGCAGTGGAAAACATGGAGACCAGACAGTGGCTTAACGAATGCCCAGTAGAACTAATGAACATAGTAAACCGAGAGGCTATTTTATTGAATTAATGGAATTGATTTCTCTTTAAAAGTGAATTGAGTCAAACCTAACTTAAGGTGAGAGAGTTTCCTCTTTGTCCAAACCTTCTTGTTGTATATATGTACTCTTTCGCTACTAGCCAGCCTCGAATCTCTCAATGGAACCATCTGTCTTGCGTTTCACTTTTAAAACTCATTTATTCCCAATAATCCTGGTGCAAGGTCAACCAAGTCCTAAATATGATTGGTTCTCATTTGCTCAATTTCATTATTCATTTCATTATTTTACTATTTTGCTACAAGAAAGGATCGATAGAAATTTAAGTGGTTTTCTCAATTCAACTTCATCCTAAGAAGCAATCACGAGTCATGTGAGCTTTCCCCTTCAATCTCAAATTGACGACAAGGGACACTTGCACGTTTGCTTCTAAGCTGCTCAAGCTTGAGGTTGAGGATCCTCATCCATTGGAATATATAATAAACTAGATTGCAAGTCGTTTCCACTGTCCTTGAGAGTTTTAAGGAATTTCTTTCACATTCTCAGCCGAGCTATTTGGTGCACCAATATCCGGATCCACCATTTTGTAGAGGTCTAGTTTGTAATTGTTTGCTTATGTAGAATATACTAAAGATAGTACTTTAATTTATCCATTAGAATATAGTCAATGATATTCTCAAGATGACATGGAATTTACGTGCATCTTAATTAGAATAATATATAGTTTGTAATGAATACACCAATATGCACACACAATAAAATTGAATCAAGATGAAACTTTAATTCATCCATTTAAATTCTTATTGTTAACATACCTTGTAACGTATGCTTTTATAACATATCTTGTAATTTTGTGTATCTTTTGAATAGCTGACAAAAAAAATATAATTTTTATTTTATATCTTTTCTTTCTGAATTACATATTATTCTTATCAGATTATTAAATTTCTTAAATGCTTTGATAACATTTTGTAATTTCATTTATCTTTTGAATAAGTGATATGAAAATTATGCAATTTTCATTTTATATCTTTTATTTTTGAATTTCATATTGTTGTTATCAGATTATTAAATTTCTTAAATGCTTTGATAACATATTTTGTAATTTCATTTATCTTATGAATAAGTGATAAGAAAATTATATAACTTTCATCTTTCATATTTTCCTTTTGAATTACATATTATTCTTAGCAGTTACTAAATTTCTTAAATACTTTGATAACATGTTCTGTAATTTTGCTTACCTTTTGATTAGGTGATAAGAAAATTATGTAATTTTTATTTTACATTTTTTATAATTATTTGCTATCTGTTACAACTATTTATGAGTATAGAATTACTGACTTCGTTTGCGTAGGAGAGCGACCCTACACATGCCATTGTAGAATTTCAGTTTTTCTTGGCGTACTAAACGCATCCCAAGTCTGCGTGCTTATTCTGGAAGTCTACCAAGTCAGAACAGAGAGGAAGTACTTGCATTGCACCAATGAGACATTTATTTATTCAGGTTTCCATAGATATGATATCCTAAAAGTTGTCTACACAACTTAAATTTTGGATAATGAAATTCGTATTTAAGTCTATTCTTGTAGCTGTACATCCATGACAACCCTGATACTCGATTTGGTTCCTAAAAAGATGCTTTATAATGGAACAAAAAAAAAAAAAAAAAAAAAAAAGAAACAAAGCCCTACAGCAAATTGACTAATTTTACAGATTTCTCAAGGTTAGACTATCAAAAAGGGGGGATTGAAAAATAAAAAAACAAAAAATTGTACAATAATTTCCCTTTGAATCAATTCTTTTTGTTTGTCTTCGGCTTTGACCTCATGCTAGCTCTCCGAGCAACATCCCATGCCTTCTGTGGTGCATATATACCTAGCTGTGAAGCGAAAAATGACTCGTACCCAGGAGAGTCAAAGGCAAAACCCGTGTGTTTCGATATTTCCCTTGGCAATTGAGAAATAGCATAGCTTCTTGCTTCGTCAGGTGTAAGCTGATTTCCGATTTCCAATAAATCTGAACGACCACTATCATCAGCTTCATCCTTGTGAATTTCCTGAACAATCTGATAATCATAGGGGAAGAACCATCTTTGCACACTGGAAACAAAGAAAAATGTTTTAAAAAAGAAAAAAAATTAAAAGAATATTTCAAAAGATTCTCAATAAATAGTGCTTGAGAAAAGAAAGATAACAAACATAAGTGACGAACACAAAGAATGTCATGCCATTAGTACACAGTGGATGGCAATATCAGGTTGTGTTTTGAGGGAGTGTACTTGCATGTGACCCTTGGCCTGATTAAATCAACCATGCTATATATTTTTTCCTTTTTTTTGGGTGTTTTATCAGATGCAGCGTGACAAGATCATAAATAATTGGAAAGAAAAAAAAACAACATGCAACATAGTCAAGTGGATGGTAGACTTAAGCACTCAACATAAGAAACTTGTTTCAATCCGTTTGGTAGGAAAGAAAGAGAGAGTAAAGGAAAGAAAAAGTTTTAATCCAATATTTGAGCTACAAAACAGAACATGTTGTTATGGCTCTCAACCATTAGATTAAAAAATTTTTCAAACTTCCCCATTTCCATCCCAATACCAAACATTTACAAGAAAGCAGAACTCCACTGTCTCAGTTCTGGAAAACCTTCAAAAATCTATTACCTGAGTTAGTTAACCAGAAACATGGCTTAATCTCATGGTTGGACATCTATTACCCACCCTAAAACTGCCCACCTAACAGCTCTTTTAGTGTTAATGAGCATTAGCAAGCTTTTCCATGCATTAAATACATGACTACAGCAGATTAGTACTTCCAGTTATTTTCTCATTCTTACCCTAGGTAAAGGAAATCTCCCACAAGTGCAGCAACAGGAACAAGAAGAAGAGTGATGTAGAAATAGGGTGTACTCATCAAGACATATATGACCCAGAAGATGTTCTCCTGCAGTAGCCAATAGAGTCAAGAAGTTGCATTCCTCCAATCCAAATAGAGAGAGAAAGAGAATGAAACATGATTCATAACTTACCTGTCGATCATGTGGAGTCATAATACCAGAATAAATAAATATAAACAAGAACCACGCTAGAATGCTTCCTCCAACACTAATGTAATGCCATCTTGTGATTGAATTACAGATCATAAGCAGACGCAAGTTGACAGTTACTACAACACATGTGAAGGCCATTGTGCTGACATCCCAAAGACCAAACATTTTACCAGATGAGCCTTGACTTGCAGAACTGGAAACAGTCACAAAGTGGAAGAAGACTAGAGATTGATAGACGGCAAAGAAGGCCCATATTGCAACAACTTTCCACTTGAAAAACATATTTCTTGTTCCCTCCTTGTATAATTCAGGGTACTTCTTTGAAAGGGAAGAACTGACATCCTGGATAACAAGTAAGGTCTTGCATAAATCAAGCATAGAACAGGCAGAACAAGATTCAATCTTAAAAAAAAAGGAAAGAATAGAGTACCTTGTCAAAAAGCCCAACCATAATCACTGGTAGTGCAGTGAATATGACATTATACAATGACTGGAACCAGTCGTCATAAAATCTTTGACCAGAAAATCCAGTATTGAAGGTGAACCAAAATTGAGTTAAAGTAAATGTAAGATTCTTGTAAAAGAAATACATCACAACCTGTTAAAGGAGGTTCCGTAAATATCACCAACCTGAAATCTAAAACAGCTTTGGAGGAAAGAGAAAAGTCAAACCTTGCATAATCTAAGATAAGACCAACGCCCATGCACAAGGAGCAAATCATTAAGAAAGCGAAACTGAGCAACTGCAAAATCACTAGCCATAACTGCTTGCATCCCTTCAAGCCCACTAATTCCAACGCCAATATGAGCAGCTTGGATCATGCTAACATCATTGGCACCATCACCAATACTAAGTGTAATTTTACGCGCACCTTTCTTCACCAAGCTCGTTACCTGCACATGGAAAAAGTAATTAGAAGTTACTTTTAAAACTCCAAATGTTTAACCACCCTTCCTCTCTCCTTCCAATGGTTTGAAATGCAAATTTTTACATTGAAAAAAAAACTGAATTTGAGAATAGTTTCTTACTTATGAGCTTCACCACTCAAAAAAAGTTCATTAAAATATTGCAAGTAATCTGGGAGGAAATAGGTTTATGACCCATGCTCAGTACACCAACCACTTTTCAATCACTGTTTAGTCCAATAAAGTTTTGAAAAATACACATAATGATTCCAATCCTCCAAAGCTGTCAACATTGCAAAACTTTGCTCAAAATGATATACCATAAAAATTCCAGATAATCCAAATATCTTGAGAAAGATGTCAGGGCATTTGCATTGTCATCAATTTTGTATGCAAACCTTATTATCCACACACTTTACTGAAAGCTAAGTTAATGATATTTCAGTTCAGTTGCCATAAGGAACCTACCTGTGCTTTCTGTAAAGGGGAGACTCGGCAGCAAACAACTGAAGAGCAATTCAAGCTCAAAGTAAGGAGCGTTATCCGTAAACTTGGGTCTAAGGCATACATCAGACACTTTCCATCTATAATAAGTGCTAATTTTGGTCCAGAGACTGTGTGAAAATATTGCTGTGCCTCATCAAGGCACTTCTTCAGTTGCTTTTTAACTTCCTCCTTGATAAAGTGTGCAATTTCAACTTGGTCCCCCTGATAATAGGCATTCAATAAAGAATAATCATGCATAAATTGAATAGCTTGTATTATACTAAATTCTAAACTAAAAGCATCTAAAAACAAGACTCGTACTAAATGCTTACCCTTTCTTCAACTGCTCTAATAGCATCAGTTTCGGAGCTGATAATGAATTGTTTCATCTCATTGTTTAGTAAGTTGCATGCTGAAGCATTATTAAAAACAAAAGGAAAAAAAAATGAAGAGATCATAAACAATATGATGATTTATGAAAACAAGGTTCCAAGGAAACTTTAACATAAAATAGAATCTCCCATAAAATATTTACCATAAGCTATATTTATTGCAGTTTCCATCTTGTCCCCTGTTAGCACCCAAATCTTAATTCCAGCTCTAGAAAGAGTCTCAATGCAATTTGGAACTCCTTCTTGAAGCTTGTCTTCTATTGCAGTTGCACCAATTAAAATGAGATCCTTCTCTATTAGTTCAGCCACCTGCATAAGTTTTAAAAATGTACATGACATAATAACCATCAAAATTACATCCAAATAAAGGTCTTTCAACTTTCCAATAACAAAGATGAATAAGCTCAAAAGATTCACCATATAAGACAAAGGGAAGTAAACTGCATACGGTCTAAATTTTTTAGCCTTTTTTAAGATTTAAGAAACTCCAGAGTAGAGGATGTACATGAACAGCCTTCCGACTAAAGGCCAGTTTAAGATTACAATGTAAAAGGATGTAAATAAACAAAAGTGTAAGGGGAACATGGGGGAGGTAGTCAATAGCTAATTTTCTAATTAAAAGAAAAGAATGTAATCTTTCACCTCCATCAACTGGCAAGCAATATATATTGATCCAGTGATTCACCAATCCTGTTATGCCTAATACAACTAAGAATAAAATTATGATTCATGGCTTAAAGGTTACCCTTGGTCAAAACATTTTAAGAACCACTTTTGAAAGTACTCCACGAGCTTACTCACACCTTTCCCAGGAAACAAGCACTATCCTTGCACAATAAAGAATTTAAAGACTTCAAAAATCCTTTTATACTTGTACGACACCAATTCTATCCTTCCCAATCACCCTAGCTTTGTTGTTTGTAGGATATCTTAGAGGCTAAAGGGATAATCGCCTACCACAGCTAATTTGCTTTTATCAGTTCAGGATTACAATGAGAGATGGGTCCAGGCCAATCCAGATGGCTTATAGAAGGAACTATACTATTCATTGTAATATAAAGAAAAAGCAGAAAAATATCTCACAAATCTAAGTTTCTTGACCAAACATCTATCCAGATTCGAAAAAATCATTTCCTTCTCCATTAAAAGAAGAAAATATGCTCCCTATAGATTCACTTAATGCAATCTTATCAGCCTAACTTTGCACCATTTGTCATATTATGCCTCAAGAAAACTTCCTACCAGAAGCAAACAAACCTCCACAACCTTCATTTGAAAAGGTCCAAACGATAGAAGTCAGTCACCTTGATCTTAGGCCCTTGACAAAGGGGTGTAACCATATTAGTTAGCCAAATCAAGATCAAGACCAGGGCCCCCCACAAGATGTCTCTCCCATTTAAATTAAGTGGATCATCCAAAAGATAAGTTGACATTAACAGCAAAACATGCCTTGCATTAAGCATAACATTAACAACGGATTACCACTAAAATTTCATTAAACAAAATCATTACTTCAGTATTGTTCAGAAAAAAAAAAGTCAATATAAAATCATTCAAATAATAACAGAATTAATATTCATCTTTTATTGAAGAGAAGATAACAAATCGACATTTACAAAAGAAAAAAATAGATCAAGTTTCTCTAAGCAAAACATGTTAACCACATACAATTACACAACAAAACATACCTCATCCAACTTTTTTTCACGATCTCGTAGAGATGACTTGGCTTGGATGAATTTCTCATTCCAACTCTCATACATGTCAGGAGCTAGATCTCTATAGGCCAGGCAAAGGGTGCGTAATCCAGCAGAGCCAAATTGTTCCAAGTGTTCCCTGGTAACGTTCTTTAAAGCATCACTTCCACCCGCCAATCTCTCATAAATGACAGTATCAGCTCCCTGTGAAAAGCATGGTTCTGGCCTAGTGTTATTTTTTTGCCAGAAAAACCTTTTGTAATACTATTTAAAAATTTCTGAAGACTCATTACCTTAGAGTATAGTACCAGCCTGCCATCTGGATAACGACATACAACAGATTGGCGCTTCCTCGTACTATTGCAAAAATGAGTAGACATTAGTGCCAATCAAAAGTAACTCATAAATGAAGAGATAGGAGTGAAGGATGCATCCAAACCTATTGAACTCAAGAACATTTAAAATCTCATAAGACACATCTTGGATTTTACCCATCCTCTCCACATGAGATTCACGAACATATATCATTGTAGGTGTACGTCTGCAAACAAAAAACAAAAAGCCTCAAATCAAGCTGCAAAGCCATGCTGCAAAAATAACCTCTTCAACAAACTTGCACCAAAAACAGAAACAGCCAATCATAATGCAAAAGCAATTGGTTCAAAATTTGCCACAAAAGTACGACTTCACAAATTTGTAATCAGTTCCTTTATCAGCTGTCAACCAGAAGTCGATCCTAAATACTTGCCAAATTTGAGGGATCATCCTATTTATACAGGACACTGATGTGACAAACTTTAGAAAACAGTAACCAGAGGGCAGCACTATCCCACAATAATGAAACTAAGTTACAATTAATAGCAATGAATTGCTAAGTTATACTGCTTAATGAACTTTTTTTTCCTTTTCTAAAAAACAGAAAACCATCTAGGGAAGAAAATTAAACCATTTGATAGGAGCTTGAAAGAAATTTATCGGATTGTTGAAAAATATTTGGTTTGCTTGGTACAGTGACATCAATATAGGTATTCTGTACTTCAAGAAACTGTCTCAAATAGCAACATGAAGATCAGGGATAAATCCAACTTATTTTAGTTGTAACTGGAAAACATGCATTCCAATATTTAAAATAGTTTAAAACTGAAGGAATAAAATCAACTCGGAATCAAATTGAATTTAAATTATTTCTAAGAATTTCCATCTTAAAGAAACAAGGAAAAACCCTCCCACTTCTAAACGAGACAAAAGGGCATCACTAACCTGTAAAAGAAGAAGCCAAAATGTTTTGCAGCCAAAACCAAAGCAGCCTCATCGGGGGATGCGGCTTGATATTTGATTTTCTCAGGGGACTCATCACCTTCAGGAAGCACAGTGTGACATATAGCAAGACATCTAAAAAATTCCTGCAACAAAGAAACAAAACTATGCCTTACAATGCTGTAGTTAATAAATTACACTACCATATTATTCTCAGTTAGGTACATATCCAGCAACAAAATATAACTAGGTTTGAAATCCAAACGGATAGAACTAATGGAAAGCAAGAAGATTAAAATGTTGATCATGTTTTCTGCATTCCTTCTAAATTAAACTAAGTGCACTTAGCAAATGAATAATGCAGGAATATGAAAAAGGAAACCTGATAAATCTATACTAAATATGGACCCACCATAGGTTTCTGTTTGTGTACAAACACCCCCTTTGATGATCATATCATATAAAGAAAGAGCACTGCTATTACAAATTAAGCTCATTAACTCAATTATCAGTACATATTTTGCCTATTCTGTTACTAGCTTAGTTCAAAACAGCTTATAAGATCAGATAAATACTAGAATATGCACCTGCATCCATCCACAACACTGCATATATACATATGAACTGCAAACTATCACAGAAAAGCAGGAGGAAATGCCCAAGTAACAAAAGAGTGGGAAAAAAAGGGGTTTCCCAAAAATCAGCAAAGAGATCCAGCATTTAATTGACAGTCTAAAAGTAAGACAGGGAGAAACTCAAGTAGCATATATCCACTTTTCCCTTAGACTTTAAAACCCTGCAATGTCAGAACTTGGAACTATTGGTTTGTAATTATTAAGTGCAACAATTATGCTAATCTGTTAATGACAGAACAACTCATTTGCCAAGTCATCCAATACGTGGACAACAAGTTAACGAATTCCCAACTCAGAATCAGACAAGCACCACAAACCAAGAATCATCAGGAACCACTAAAAGAAACCACTGCCTAGAATGAGAAGGGGCCAAAGAGACAACTACAGCCACCAAAACCTCCACCAGAGAATGGTGCATATGTGAATATCATCCTATGATTCTTCCATTACTCTTAACCACATTTTAAGGATGGTATTGCATTAAAAATAGACAATTCATTCACAATGCTCGCTTATACATGCCTTAATGCAGTAACCTACAATTTACAATAAAGTCAATCCCCAATATCCGAGCAAGAGAGAGTCAATGCATAACACCATCACATGTAAACAAAATTACAAGACCCTTGACAAATACTAAATAGTGCTGCTGGCTGCAAACCTGTCAATCCCCACAGCTCCCTGCTCGAAATTGTATATTTAAGTTTTTATGGATCTCAACTTCAAATCTAGCTGAAACTATTGAGGTCGAGCTCAATTAGTTGACAAAATATCAAGCCTAATTACTAGGCTAAGCTCAAGCTCAAGGACAGGGTTGAAATTACAATAGAAAACTTGATATTTGTTTGTATTTTTAAATGAATTTTCTCAAAAAAAAAAAAAAAAAGATGGAAGTAGATCTCCTAATCTTCATTGTTAATCGAATTCAAATACATTTGCAATGTGAAAGAGACATACATATACACTAAAAGCCTACAACAAAAACATATCCAACTGGATACAACACCTTAAATATCCAAATGAAAGTATCAAAAGTAAAAAAAGTCCTACAACCACAAGTATCAACCATGACTAACAAACACAAAAATCCTTTTAAAATCACAAAAATTATATTCTTATTTTTGCCCTCTCAAAACACGACTCTCATAAGGAGATGGAAATAAGCTTTTATTGATAGTGCCCTTTAGTTAAGTAAAAAGAGATTCACACTCAATATAAGCCCCAGAATGGCAAGCAATAAAAGCCTTTTACTAATAAATATTTCATATTAAATGTAAAAATACCACTATATATTAAATTCTATTGCCAAAGGCCACAGTAAGCTACCTTGCAAGCATCAGGATTAGGCTCATTTCTCCAAGCTCCTCGCATGAGCCTGACATCATCAAAATTGAAACCCTTTTCCCGTATGGGATTGTTTGATGCTTGCACCTATAAAAAATGTTATGAGAACAGAACATCATTCCCTTGCAACATAGGCAAATTTACTCAAAAAAGTAAAATATCCATTTCTTCATAAAGAGATAAAAAAGAGAATACCTCTTGGACCTTTATGCCTCTTCGTTCAGCAATACCCCTCTCAATTTCAGTCATACCTGTACCATAGATTTCACCTCCAATTGAACACTTGAAGAACTCCATTAAATTTCTTGTCAAAGTCCCAGTTTTATCAGAAAAAATGTACTCCACCTAATCATACCACCAACTCAAAATGATTTAGAGCTCAATCTACATAATAAGAACTGGCTGCATCTCATCCAAATTGGCCAAAATTGCATGTACTTACCTGTCCAAGTTCCTCGTTCAAATTAGAGGTCCTAGCCAAAGCAGGGGTGTCGGTTTCAGCATGGTACATATTTAAGTCCTTGTTGATAAATTGAGTGGACTGAATAAACTTGATCATCTGAAATTGCATGTGAAAACCAGTATGTTTTTGTGCAATGATAGAGCAAGAAATCAAATAAATAAGGAAAAAAAAAAAAAGATGCCAACCTCAATAGAAACATATAGAGATATAGGGATAATTGTCGAGTATAAAGTAAGTAGGGTCAACATGGTCAAAAGAGCAACCTGTAAAACCAGTATACATAATTGAGTTAATTCATTTGTGTGCTCATGCTTGTATGTAAGAGATAAACCAAGAACCAACAAGCATATGGTACCAGAAATCTGTTGTTAGGGTTGAATTGATCTTCCACACTTTTACCGAGACCTAAGAAGTAGTACTTTCGGTCAATGAATACACCGCTGCAATATTTCAAGCATAGAACATCACTATCAAAAAATATTGACAAAAGAATTTGAAAAAATCCCACAACATTTAACAACATGTAATGGATGTGCAGACTAGCTCTTTAACACACCTTCCTATCGCTCCAATCAGACACATAGTGAAAAGAGTACCAAAGAGAGTGAGTATAAGTTTGTCAAGTTTCCTCTCTAATGTACTTCTTTTTGAAGGCACATTCATGGAATTCATCATAACCTGCAAACTCATCCCAAATTCCCACAATATGATATCAACTTAGAGAGCAGATCAAACAGATAAAAAGAAGAAAAATCACACTTTTGTTTCTGCTTTGGAGTGGATAAACATACACAAAAGCTTCTAAGCTCATTGAGTTACAAAATGATAATACAGGTACAAGTATCAAAAGTTTAAATTATTTTGAAAAATAATGGGAAAGGTTTTTTGCATATAAATGCTCATAATTACAAATTTCTCATAAAACAAAAAATTCCAGTATGTTATTTGTCTCAACATACTGCATATAAGAAATACTATAAAACTTCTGTAACAAACCTTTGTTTCATGACCAGTAAATATAACAGCCCCAACTATGAACTCGGTGTTTTTCAGACTGCAACCCTGTAATCAAATTGCCAATAACAGTGCCATATAAGTCCACCAGCAGAGAAAGAACATAAAATACAAATGTTGTTAACTAATAAAAGATTAGCAAAGACAATTAAGCGACCCATATATTTGAAACAATGCACAACAAAGAATATAAAATATTATTCCTGCCAATAGGGTTCAGATGATATTTAAGTCCCAAAAAAAACAAACCACCAAATAGGGAAAGAAGATTATGTTCCCGGTAAATTCTAGGGGGGCAAAAGAAGATATTAACTTCAAATTGTAATTAAATGCTATAAGGATAATTTCTGAAAAAAAGCATAAGCTGCAAAGACATTAAGTAAAGAGCTGATGATGGAATGAAGAGAATCAGAACATACCCTCAGTAAAATCTGATTTGGAGAAAGAGGCAATGTTTGATTGTCCATTATAAGATTTCCGGTGAAAGTGTACAAAGAGTTGTTTGGTTGCTCACACTGCACTTCACCTGCATTTAACAAAGGGTGCTGCTATTGAGAAGTTTAGAAGAAGACACAAGAAAAAGATACAAAGAGGTTTTGAAAGCATCACTCTGAAAAAAGCCCATCAAACTAAAATGAAAAGACATGTTCACCAACAATCGAAGCACACATATGACCAAATCAGAGTATTAGATGACTATATTAACTATAATAACAAAAGAAAAAAAATACACTAATTCCTTCCTAGAGACTTAACTGTGCAATGCAGCGAAGGACTCATATTTGTGGGAAAACACCTGGAATTAAGCTGGTTGTAATCTGTATCCCTAGAATTAAGGACTGAAAATTACAATAGACAATCCCTCATTTATAGGAATTAGTTTTAGGAAGATTTAATTTCCTATGTTACCTTCTAGTTTTTCGGTGTTCGTATAATTTGATAGACAAGTTTTTCTATATATTCTCAGTTTTTCCACATGTTATCAAAGCTTTAAGCTCTTCTTGGGAAGTAAAATTTTTAGCCTTTATTGTTAACTTCTGTTTTAGGCCTTCATTGCCAAACCTTGTTACGGCGTTCATAACCATTTTATTTTATTTTTTCCTTCTTTAGCCTTCATTGCTAAGAGTCATTTCTGGTTATATCTTAATTGTTAAGACTTGTTTTAGTTCAAAAATATATATCAATGTCAAAAATAACAGAATTTGCTATTGCAACCACACAATTTGAGGAAGTGTCAACTAGTAAAACCACCAAAGTACTACAAAAGTCTCAAGAACAAGTTGAGTTGGACGAAGAAGAGATTCTAAGAAGCCTATTGAAAACCTTTGAAAAGCCTACTGGGGTATGTTCCTTAGATAAGGTCTCTAATTCAGGTAAAGTCTCCTGTTTCCTTGGATTAAATGTTTTAGTTAAGTCTATTACGAGTTCTTGGGTCATTGACTCAGGAATCATAGACCACATGACACATGCCTCACAGAAGTTTAGTACATATACCTTGTGTCCTAGTAATAAGAAATTGTTGTTGCAAATGGTTCACTTACTATAGTGACAAGATTAGGAGATGTTCAAATTAATCCCTTGTTTGTTCTTAAAAATGTTCTTCATGTTCCTCAATTATCTACTAATATGATATCTATACAAAAACTTACTAGAGACATGAATTGTAAAGTGACTTTTTATCTCTCCTATTGTGAATTTCAAGACCAAAGTTAAGGGAAGAGGATTAGACTTGCTAAGGAGAAAGATGGGCTATATTATCTTAAGACATCAAACAATAAAAAGTAATACCAAGAATAGTTTACCTTTGTCATTTCTTTCTGAAAAACCTCCCAATAAAGACAAAATCTAGATTTATCATTTTCGTATTGGACATCCTTTTTTTGGAACTTTGAAAAACATGTTTCCTTCTTTGTTCAAAAGATTAAATATTGAAAATTTTCATTGTGATGTTTGAGAACTTGCAAAACATAGAGGTGTCTTTTCCAGTTAGCAACAAAAGAAGTTATGCTCCTTTTTACTTGATTCATAATGACATATGGGGTCCCTCTACTATTCCTAATATTTCTAGTGCAAGGTGGTTTGTTTAATTCATAGGTGATTGTACTAGGGTTTCTTGGATTCTTTTAATTAAATCCAAATCAGATGTGAATAGAGTGTTTTTAAGCTTTCAAAACATGATCCAAAAACAATTTGGAGTGAAAATCAAAAGATTTAGGTTTGATAATGCAAAAGATTTTTTCAACCAAAGTCTTTCTAACTATTTCTAAAAAGACAGGATTATTCATGAGTCATCTTGGGTTAATACTCTGTAGTAGAATGAAGTGGCAAAAAAGAAAAATAGCTATTTACTAGCCACAACCCAAGCCTTATTTTTTCAAACAAATGTACCCTAATCCTACTAGGGGAAATCTGTTCTCATTGCCACATACATTATAAATAGGTTACCTTTAAGGGTTTTGGAATTTAAAACTCCTATGGAACTACTGTCACAATTCTATCCCAATTTCAATGCCACAAACAACCTCACACCTGGGATATTTGGTTGTACATCATTTGTTCATGTTCGTAGTCATAATTGGGGAAAGTTGGATCCAAGAGTAGTTAAGTGTATTTTTGTGCTGTATTCATTACCTCAGAAAGGGAATGATTGCTATCATCCTCCTACCAAAAAATTCTGTCTGCAAATGTCACTTTTGAAGAAAGTAAACCATTTTTTACTCAACCTTGTCTTTAGGAAGAGACTTCATTCATGGAAGATAATGATAGACTTCTTTTTGCTTGACTTGTTCTCCTTAACATTTTCACCCATCAATTCTTTTGAGTCTAAACCTATTTCCTCAACTTTTTCACCACTAATTCTTCCAAGTCTAAACCTGTTTCTTCTTAGCCCAAGTCATACACTGAATTTGAGTTTGAACACATTCCAAACATAGAAACTATAACTAAGGATAATATTGTTCTTGATTCTATGAAGGAATTATAGGGGTACTCAAGAAGGAAAGTTTCAACTCCTAAACCGGTGAAAGTCCAAGAACCTAATCCTAATTCTGGAAATGAGGTAACTACAATCTCTGACTCTATTTCTCAAAATGAGCATGAATCTCCTAAAACTAAAAATAATGATTATGATTTGCCTATTGCCATTAGGAAAGGAACCATAGAATGTATTAAGCATCCATTATACCCAATCTCTAATTTTGTATCATTTGAAAAATTCTCACCAACCCACAAAAATTTTCTTGTGAGCCTAAACACTATTTCTATTACAACTACATTATCTGAAGCATTATCCAGTGAGAAATGAAGGCAGGCCATGAAAATAGAAATGAAGGCTTAGAGAAAAATAAGACATGGGAATTGGTATAGTTGCCTAAAGGAAAAAATCCAATTGGATGTAAATGGGTTTTCACTATAAAACACAAGGTGAATGGTATTGTTGAAAGGTATAAGGCCAAGTTGGTGGCTAAGGGCTACACTCAAACTTACGAAGTGGATTATCAAAAACTCTTGCTCCAATTGCCAATATGAACACAATGTGAGCCTAAACACTATTTCTATTCCAACTACATTATCCAAAGCATTATCCAATGAGAAATTGAGGCAGGCCATAAAAATAGAAATGGAGGCCTTAGAGAAAAATAAGACATGGTACACTCAAACTTATGGGGTGGATTATTAGGAAACTTTTGCTCCAGTTGCTAAGATGAATACAGTTAGGATTTTGTTACCATTGGCTGCAAATTATAATTAATAGCTTCAACAATTTGATGGAAAGAATACTTTTCTACATGGTGATTTGGAAGAAAAAATATATATGAAAGTTTCACCAGGATTTGGAGGTCATCTAGAAGCAAACAAATTATGCAAGTTGAAAAAGGCTTTATATGGCCTTAAATAGTCTCCTAAGGCATGGTTCGGGAGATTTGCCAAAGTGATGCTAGCAATGGGATATAAAGAGAGTCAAGGGGATCACACACTGTTCATCAAGCACTCGGATTCAAAGAGAGTTACAATTCTGTTAGTGTATGTTGATGATATAATTGTAATCGGAAATGATGAAAAAGAGAGAGAATCTCTAAAACAGTGTTCGACTAGAGAATTTGAGATAAAAGAGCTAGGGAGATTGAAGTACTTAGGAATTGAAGTAACTCACTCATGGCATGGTATTTTCATCTCATAATAGAAATACGTGATGCATCTTTTGAAGGAAACTGGGAAGCTCGCATATAAACCTGCAAATACCCTAATAGATCTTAAACAAAAACTTGGAGAAGCTAATGAAAATACTACCGTAGACAGAAAAATGTACCAGAAATTAGTTGGAAGACTCATTTATCTCTCACACACTAGACCTGATATAGCATATGCTATGTGTGATAAGTCAATTTATTTATAGTCCTAAAGAAGTGCACCTAGAAACTGTTGATAGCACCAAAAATTATAGTAAATTTACATATCAAAATGGTTGCAAAAATTTAAAATTTTGGTTGAACTAGGTACTGTTAATGCTATTTTCATGATTTTTAGGTTTTAAAGCCATGGGATGTGAAATCATGCAAACCATGCAATCCATGCATGCAAGATGACTTTCGTCGAACCTTCTTTGACCAATTCCACCTATCCATATGGCCAAGGAGGAGTTTGCAAGCACAAGGACTCTCATCTCCCATATCCATTCGGCTAAGTCTTCAAGCAATTTCAAGCTCACATGGATACTACCCTAGTTGGCCAAAGATGTTTTCATGCAAAGAGGACTCTTTTGTGTATCTTTTGAAGAATTGTGATAAAAGGACTCTCGTTATTTGAATTAAAGGAATTTGGATTGAATTCAATTGCCTAATCTTGTAATCCTACCTTAGCCAAACCAAGGATGAATATTGAAGCATGATGGATTTCAAGATTGATCAACGGCCAAGATGAACTATATAGAAGCATATTCAGCTAAGCTTCTTCAAGAACTAGGACTCCCATTCAGTCAAAGCTCTTTGGAAATCAAGATAAACTTCATCCTTTAGCATTTAGATAGAAGTCAAACTCTTGTAATCTTTACCCCTTATGGCCGAACCTATGCCTACTAATAGGCAAGGCCATTTCACTTGTTCCTCATCCCATTCTTCTCCTCTCTTCTCCTTTTTCTTTTCTTAGTCTTTTCTTTAGTTTTAGTTATTGGCTTAGGTGACAGATTTGCCAATAACAAAGTTATTTTTGTAAATTCTTTTCTTTAATACAATTGTTTTTTAAAATTCTTTCTTTAATACAAGTATTCTTTCTATTGAAGATCTAGTTTTCAACTCTTTTCTTTTTTATTAGTTTTGACTATAACTCTTTTATGCTTTACAAGTTTCGGCAATCACCCCCTCTTTTACTTAAGTTTAGGTATCATACTTTTTTCATCTAAGTTTCAGTTTATGCATTCTTGATTTATGCTCTACAAGCTTTCAGCCTTCACTTATTCTTCCTTGTTTTCAAAAGCAATCTTTATTTCTTTTAGTTACATTCAGCCCCACCTCTTTTACTTGCCAAGTGATAGTTGGTGGACTAAAGATCTAGGCCTGTAATCCTTTCTACATTAATTCCTTAATTGGTTTTGCAACCCATTCTAGTATTCATTTGTTTAGATGTAAAAGATTAGGTTTACACCATTGTTACTTCAATCCACCCAACATTACAATCTATAATCCTATGGGAGACGATACTTGAACACTTATCACTTTATTACTTGATTGATCTGTGCACTTGCAGTTATTGCGAAAATAGACTATCAAGTTTTTGATGCCGTTGCTGAGATTTATAACAGTGTTCGATTCAATATCAATAAGGATTCTTTACTCTTTTGTAATCTAAACACCTTTTATTTTTATTTGCTCTAATGTGTTCTCCTTTTCTTTTCTATTATATCAGATCTTCATTGTAGTGAGGCCAAAACTTTTGGGGACTATGCCGAGCCATTATTTGAGTATTCTGATCCTAGACTGTGGAGCACTAATGAAAGGTGTGATGAAGACCCCCTTGTAACCATAACTTCACAATTGGCCTCTTTAGTTGAAAAGGTAGATGTGCTTGAATTCAATCGTAATCATAGTCATATGCATTCAATCCAAAACTCATTTGATAATTTTCATGTCTACGATGGAAAATATTATAGTGATAGGTGTCAAGATAACCAATCCAACTTTTATTCAAGCATCTACACTCAAGATTGGGAGGATCATTTTAGTCATGCATACCCCAACATACTTTATGAACCCTCCACCTCAATAATACTATCTTCCACCATATGACCCACCTCCTCAACATCATCCTTCACCCCAACACTTTCCATCATATGACTCACCATCTCTTCCTTAAGAAACAGAACCTTCCTTTGATGAAACTCTTATAGAATTCATTTGAAATCAAGCCATCTTCCTCAAAACCCAAATTGCCAATTTGAGAAGCCTTCCAATTTGAAAAGCCTTCACAAACATGTAGATCCAAGTTCTTTGCGTGAAGTGGAATACATATTAAAAGACGATCAAATGAAAGAGAAAAGGCGTATGTTGCTAATGATGATGAAAATCTAATTGATGAGCTTGTGGTGGGGAACCTACCTAGTTTTGTGAAAATACCTAATTAGGACTATATTCAAGAAGAAGATCCTAAAGAGTACATTGAGGATTCAGTTGAAGAGGTCATGATGCTGATGCAAGTAGGAATAGCATTGCTTGAAAGTATACAACCTATTGAGGATGAAATACAAGAAGAGCAAGAGATTGAGGAAGATCCCAAAGAAAAGCAAGATGATGATGAGCCTATTGTGATTAACATTTGCTATGGTGGTAGATTTTAAGGACAAGGAATCAATTTTGGAATCTGAACCTCAAGAAGGGCATGGTATGAGCCCATTAAAGCTAATCCTAAGACTTACAGTCCACCCCTACCAAATCCCCAACCCGATGAAGATCAAGTACAAGATTTGGAATTGAAAAAGGTGGAGAAGCCTATTGTTGAGGGTTGTTCAATTGAAAACGTGCTTGAACTTTTAGAAACACCCCCCCATTAAGCCCAAGGAAAAGGATGAGAACACACTAGTCTTCTGATTAAACCGGCCATGGAGGAACCTTTAGTCTTCAAAACCAACCCTATAGTTTCCATGGTTATACCTCTCTCACTGGTACTAAAGCCAATGCCCACCTACCATAGTCCTATTATAATTAAGACATTGCTAGAGATGGAAAATTTAGCCATAATAATGGAGCAGCACTGCCCTTTAGAGCCTAATGTTGAAGATGTGGTGACAAGAAATATCATTAAATGGGTAGATGCTGGGGTAAAATGTGGGGTTATCACGTAACCACTTTTTTTTTAAAAAAAAAAAGGGATGGTCAAGCTTGACCAAAACTAGCATTGCTTGGGAGGCAACCTGAGTTTTACTTTAATGGTTCATGTTTTATTTATTTTTGCTTTTATTAGGACAAGTATGCTTTGATTTGTTTTTGTGTTTTTTGAGTTTTGGAGGAATGAAAGTGCTGCAAGGATAATGCCTCATAAAGATCAAAAAGAAGATTCAGCCTTGAAGTAAATTTAGGGAGTATTTCTTTTCCCTTGTACTTTTTTATGTTGATATAGTGTTTAAAGTAAGTGTGGGGGGAAAATAGAATGCTTTTTGGAACTTAAAATGATTCTCAAAATTCTTGACCCATTTTTGCTTTCAAACCAAGTTGACATGCTAAAATCATTGTTATGCTCACTTAGTTAATTTTTGCATAAATTTTTCAAAATTTGACTTGAGAATAATATGAGGTTAGTTATGAGTATGGTGAAGCAACAAAAGGAATTCTTAAGTATGCTTTTCTTTGGACATGATTTCTGCGCATGTGATTTTATTCTCTTTCAATGAAATGCTATGATTCTTGTGAAAGTTTTTGAGATGTTAAATTGCATGAAAGTTTGAGGATATGAATATTACTCTAGAATTCACCTATTAAACTTTCGAGGCAAAATACTAGGTTGTATTTGACTCAAGAGATGATCTCGGCATTTTTTTGGACTGTTTGAGCCTTTTTCAAGCCCACCATTATGATGCATCCCTAGTACCCTTTATTTTGAGCCTTATTTCCCATTCTTTGTTTTTATTAACCACATAATAATCCAAAAGCCTTTTCTTTTGATTATTTTTCCTTCTTTTGTTATGATCTAACCCAATTATGTTTACTCATGTATTTTGGCTAGATTTATGTATTTGGAAGGAAGGGAGGTGCAAGGAATTTGAAAATAAATAAAAAAAAAAAAAGCAAAAGAAAAGAAAAGCAAGGCAAAGCCTTAATAAAGCCAAAAATTGCTATGTGAAAAAAAAAAATGCTAAAATAAAGTGATGCCTCAAAGTTTTGAAGATGTTTCAAAAGTTCTCAAAGTCAAATCAAGAGTCCAAGAAATCAAGAAAGTGAGCTAAGGGTTATTGAAACTAAAAATTTCCTTTTTCCTACCTTGACCTAAACCTTACATTACAAGCCTTAAAAACCTGTTGATCTTGAGTCAAGTATATAAGCCTAAAATTAGTGGAGAGGGAAGGGGAAAGTGAGCATATGAAGTTTATTTTGTCTTTAAGTTGAAATA